CTGTCTGACGCGTCTGCCTCCGCGACCCGAAAGGAGAAGCGGCGATGGAAGATGAAGATGAAGATATTTTTTGGATTGTCATTTTGCCGTGGTAGCAGCAAAGGAGTAAATAACATTTGTTTGACACAATGCTCATATACGATAGCAGAAAAACTCAGAATAAGTTTCGACTAGACTTAGTAGCCTCTCTTTAAACACACCGTCCAATTTTATGCGTGGCTGAAGATGATTAGTCGGTACAATCAAATCTTAATCTTTTTCATTTCACTAGTATACGGAATCTTTATCATAGAACTGGAGAAAATATGAACATCTTGGCATCATTTCATCGGAAGTTTCATGTCGTCGCTGACCGTATAACGTAAACACTGTTTTATACTACACTTTTGTGTCGTTAGTCAAATATTCACCGCAACCTCTGCTGATTATGCCCATGAGTTACTCGCTATCTTCCTTTCAGAACGTAGCGTGTTTATCGTGATGACTTCGCCATACTTTTGGTAGGGATTGAACTGGAATGTATGCTGTCAGATTTTCTTCCTGTGTAGTTGTAAACCGCATAAAGCGTTTCGTTGAACCTTGATTTTGACTGCCTCAGTGACTTCAATTTTGTTTTATGCTTTTGACAAATTTATGCTCACGGAAAAAAGGATTCTTTTCAATGGGCCATGGTTGAAATTTCTTACCCTGGGAGATACCGATTTTCAGACAGCGACATCATGACTATATTTACGGAGAACTCATTTGTCACCGAAGCAAAAAATATGCTACCACCCGAAAAGTTCAAAGGCGTAGTCTTTCTTAGTCACGAATTTAAATAAACCTGAAAAATAAATCGCGCACGAGATTTTCGTGAAAGCCTATAAAGTAAAATGTTCTTGGCTGATGAGTACAAATTAATCCCATTCCAGCTTGATATACGAGTCTGTTAGGCTAAAGTTGGGTTATTATGAATTTGTTTTCGTCGATGAATTCATCTGTACGATGGAATAAACAATTCGATATGTACCGCAGCTTGTGAATGATGCGGGACGTACTTTGCTATTCCTCATTCCCTTCTCCGCGAGACAGAAATACGAAAATGGAACGCTATATGTGAACATTAAAATTAGTACTTTGGTTAATGAGGATAACTCAATAGTGATCTAACTGAAAGTAGAAAAATCTTGTGGCAGGTTTCATTAGAATTTTTACATTAAAGTCTTGACAATGCCAAGAAAGGCGCGATTTACCGTTGCAGGGAACGTAGTCACGCTGTGCGTCCAGGATTTAATCAGAGAGACGGCAGCGAATCTGCTTATGAGCGAACAGGGTCACGCAAAAAAATGAAGGTGGTTATCCCTTAAAAGTTTAGCATGTGCATGTCGTTGTTATTTGCTCGACAATACCGTGAAGGCTGAGTTCTGTGGTCAATACCCCTTTTCGCATTAAGGTCGCCCAATTATAACATCAGGACCGGAAAGCACGTTATATCTCACCACAGGCAGTCATAAAAAAGTCTGTTCTATAACCGTCTTTTGTGGAGGAATGAACGACAATGAGCACACTCCGCTTCACCTATTTGAATTTGTGTTGGAATACTCCGTGACAAATGTTCCACAGAAATGTGGTTTATTCTAGGTTGGACCGCAACAAAGACCACCCGTCCTGTGTCAACCATCTCCTTCCCAGGAGGGTGAGCTTAAATGACCGGCAGTACGTTGAGGTTACCCCTATAGAACGGCCGTACGGAAACCGTCTTCTAACTTACCTTCGGCAAGGGAACGAGGGTTTCAGCATACAACACGTAATATACCTCTTGTAGTATGGACAAGTGGCATCGCAGATCTCTTAATTCTGTTATTTGCTAAATTGTGAAGAAAAAACCATCGTTACAAAATTCAGTACACGAAAATTGCCAGAAAAAACTCAATCATTCATTCTTATCCAAAATGCGAGACTCCAACTAACAAACTTCCGTTGTGGAAATTTTTAGGATTGTTTATAGGCTAAAAAATGATACGACATTTTACGATATAGTGGGCAAGATACTCTACTATTATGCGGGTATTATAGTTCATGGTGTACAATGGTAAATGAGTAGTAATTTCTTATGTTCACAAGATCGATGATATCAAGAAATAATTTTGAATAGGATTACGAATGTGGATTTCCAAAATGTCGGCCAGCGAATCTAGTATGATGCTACTCTCTTCTGCATCTTTCATATCATTCATCCGGGAATTTTTTCCCTTTCTTGGTCATTTTCTTTCCAGAAAATTAGCAGTATAACAAGACATTTAAACGAGCTTTCTTTACAGACTGAAGCACTCAAGCACTGCTTGCTCCGAATCTTTCCTCTGGAGCTGTAATCAAGGCTTCTTTTTCCAGACATAAATACTTACTGCCGAAAAAATGTTTTGGCTGGCGTCGACACGATCTGAATCAATTCTTCAGATCATCAATTCAATAACAAAATACATAACATTGAAGTACTGTAGAAACATCGATACAAATTAACAGTTTTTGGCCACTTAACCAGTGAGCAAGGCATTCAGCTGGCGAACGGGATCCCGTCTCTCCTATTTTATTTTCGCACAAAAATCAGATATGTTCCACTTATTGCCAGATACCATATTGGTCCCGTTGTACACGAACCAGACGCGGAGATTCGGTCCGTATGACAAATTGTTCAGAACTTTTGGCGTAAGCATGAAGTACTGCGACCGTATCGTCTCGCTGTTGGCAGAAGCAGCACGGCTATTAAGCAACTTGAACATAAGCTCAAAAATCATTCGCTCGTTTGTTTGATCCATGCCTTAAACTAAACTGGTCAAGGCAAAAGTAAAACTGATAAGCAACGAACTTTGTACCTTGATTTATCTCATCTACACAACAGAAAGGCACTTGGGATACCTCTTGCAGAGCAAATACATACAGGATGGTGGAAAGAGATCGTTCGCCGCCAGACTGGTGCTGAGCATTAAGAACTTTGAGCGGTTCATCGGCGCGAAACTTCACTTTAATCGATATGCCGTATTGTGAGTACTCTGCCTAAAACGTAGTTGCAAGCAGTTACACATACTTTAACATAAGCCTTAATACCACGTCATTTCCTTCGTCAAAAACCACTTCACCAGCGAAGTCAAGAATCTTCAAAAAAGATGCGAAATTCGAATTTATCTTCTCCACTAAGTCCCTGACTTCCTCAAGGTATACTATACTTGCAGCTTTGGCGTTATTTTCCAACCGCGTGATCTAAACGGTTCGACATTCCGTTGCATTATGCATTACACTAATAAAATGTCACCTTTGCTTGTACCACTTCAATGTCTGTCTCTACCGCCTCTGAATCGCCAACATGTGAGGCGTATTCACGAACAGTCTGAAACAGTCAGGTGATAAGGTGATAATCAATTCTTGAACTAAATTAAATCTAAATATAAGATTCTAACCGTGTGCTGATTTTTAGTCAGTTCTCAAGAAGACAATAAAATAAAGGATGCAAGGCGAGCGAGTCACCCAGCGCGATCATCTCTCTTGCCCGTTTTGACAATATCACTAACAGTAACCGGCCTGAGCGTGTGTCGTAAAATCGACACCTGAGTAGAACAGCTTCCACCCGCAGAGGTTCAGGATTCCAGAGCATCGACGCTTCGTTGACGAGTGCTCAACTATGTTGAGTTGGCATCTTGCGACCTCATCAACTAGCTAATGGTCTTTCCGTTTGAGTGAGGACATATTCCAATTTCCGACTGCAAGCACCAACTGGCGGTGTCGTTCCCGTGAAGCCTTATATGACGTGCTATAATGGCATCGCGCTGTTTGTCTTACCCGTTCAGAACGACTAGCAAATCCGTTGCTGACTGGTACTTTTGTCATCTTCGTACTCTTCTCTTCTTTGGCAACCATCCTCGTGCAGCGACGGCCTCAGCTGCCAGAAGTCGTGAAGTAGGCACTGACTGCCTAACTTTTAGCAGTCTACCGCAGTTTACCAATAGCCTGCGTGGCCCTTGGTAACTCGTGCAGTAAACTTACTGGTACAACGTTCGATAACGGCAAATATTGAAGGACAGGTGGGTAAGTTTTATGGAAGACCTCAAGGCGGTTTCTAACCTTCTTCCTTTCTTCCTTTCTCATTGGGACTTCGGACCGGCAACGGCAGTTGTTACCACATAAGCAGAAAAATGTGGCTTCGTACGCAAAGTATGCAAACAGGCAGAAAACTCTTCTAAGATCAGATTTTACAGTGTACTGGATTATGAATAGAGCAAATGGTGGTCCAATACGTGCCAAATGTGCTCAAGGAGAAAATGTTTGCCTGTTAACACGCCCAGGAGGATAACTCATTTTGAATATTTACTGTCAAACTCTACTCATGCTTTTAGATTGAAATTATGTAAAATGCATACTAAGATATTAACAGTGCTACGTGCGGGGTACTCAGATACGAACCTTTAAATCCATCAGATTGTTTGCGCGCTCATTTACTCATAGGACGATGGCACGAAGAAAGGAGCTTGCTTGATTCTCAGTCCATTTAATCTTCGCTCCAGAAGCTATAGACGATTTTTAAAACTGCTGAACTATGGACCGTCATTAACACAACAAAAATGCAACAACTCCTTCCAAATTGCACTAACTGTTTACTCTTTGCTGTCCATTATGTACTGATTCATTGCAGTTAGATAATTTTGCTGGAGTGAAAGTCATGTATGATTTCCATAATGAACTGATTCACCTGAATACATATGCTTAAAATAATTTATACAACCAGCTGAATGAAATTATTTGATTGATGCTATCCAGAATCGGAAATCTCTAAAATGCTGCGTCAGCTTCGTCCTTGTGCATAAAACAAGCACCACCAACTGACCTGTCATCAAAGCGTCATAAAATTTCGATGTTTTTGTCAATGATGATCTGAAAGTGAATCACTATGTCTACTCTTTGAACAGGGAACATCAGCTCGATGGCAAAATGAATGAAAGACCCGGACGATACTATACAGCATTGATAGATGATATTAGCAAATGGAAAGAAACTTACAGTCTCTCGTCACCTGAACGACCAAAATCTGGAAACTCCACGCAATAACGTTTGTTTAATATTGTAGCTATCACCGCTCTGAATGAAACATGATATATGTTGCTATCTGCTCTGCAAACTCATTCGACATTCATAATGAAGTCAGTTATACATGCAAGTAATATTCCAGCTGGCAGCCAAGGGACAGTAAATGCTACACTATATACGCCAAATATTGGATAAGGTCGTATATTCACCCCGATGGGCTATAGCAATCCAAGAACAGTGTAAAAGAACCAGTCAGGGCCTTATGGAGAGGTACTAAGATACTGCTACTACATACTGCGATTCTGAATAACGCTTTGTGTGGCAGTGATGTGTGATAATCTTCAAATGACAACCACTCTTCCCGACACTGAAGGAACGCAGCAGATCTGCTCAGTAGGCTGCTGCAACATCGTTTGTTAACCAAATGTGCATGCATTTGAACACTAAAACTAAATTAAATTCTTATCAACCTTACCTTTATTATAATGCTGCGGACAAGGATAAGGAAGTGTGCAGAAACAAATTCCAATTTACCTCCTCGCTGTCCATGCATTCAGTGGAAGCTACAGTTGCGCGTTTTCTTTCAATAAGGGACTGAAGTTCTTCGATAGAGTTTGGCAGTTTTTCAAAAGCCTTAAATGATATCGATTAGTACAAACAACACCAAAAATCCTTATCGGACCAAAACAGTGTCACCTTTTTCAAAGAAGTGGGGAGATCCATTGTCAGTGAAACCGGTCCGATTTTCAGTGATTCACAAGCCACCTGCTGTTGCTGCTGTGCATTCTTTAACTTCACTTCGACTTCTGCCGCCATTCGCTCCAATGCTTCCTAAAAATGCTAACACATAGTACGTCATCATTGCTATACTCATTGATCATGTTGGTACCCTGTCCTCTTTTTCGATGGCCATGGATCTGGCAAACTGCTTCTGACACTGCGAAAGACACTCTGAACAACTAGCAAAAGTCAAAGCTTCCTGCACGATCGACCCTTGAAAAAATGACCCTTTGTTATAAAACGAACAAAATAAGAGAACAGTTACCACAAACACTGTCTTGTGCTGCCAGCAGAGACATACTAGCAGCAAATTTTTTGAACACATCCGCCATTTGGGCTTGGACTGTCGCTAGCAAATTGTTCTTCGACTGGCACATCTCTGTCACCATAGCCGTAATTGAATCAAGTCTATAAATAGCCTCAGCAGTAAGCGCACGCATTACCATATTCATAGAAACATACGAAGCCTTCTTCTGATCAAGCTTAGTCTTCAGAAAAGCTTTCTGAGCCAACTTCAGATTACATTCGTGCTAGTGAAAAAAGAAAAGTAGCAACCGGTGAAAAAAACGATCGACAAAGCACCTTTCTCTGCAACAACTGTTCATGAGCCCTTTCGATGTTTTTAATCTTTTCTTCAAATTCGGCTATTTTCTGGCTCCGTTGTTTAATTGTAGACGAAATATTCTGTAAAAAAATTTTTACTATAAAGTTGCGATTAAAACAAAATATTCTAAGATTGAATTTTCGATTTACAATTGATTTCATTCAACGTCAATTTCCAATTGTGAACAAAAGGCGCCGAACACCGGGTTTAATTAAAGTACATTCATTCGATTTACGGAAGGCTACTCTCCCCCCTCACCGTAA